TGTTCAGCCTGGAGAAGAGGAGACCCAAGGGGGACCTGATCACTCTCTACAACTGCCTGAAAGGGAGGGTGTAGTCAGGTGGGGGTCGAGCTCTTCTCCCAGGCAACTTGTGACAGGACAAGGGGGTACAGCCTGAAACTGCATCAGGGGAGGTTTAGGTTGGATCTCAGGAAGCACTTCCTCACGGAGAGGGTGCTCAGGCACTGGGATGCCCTGCCCAGGGAAGTGGTGGAGTCACCGTCCCTGGAGGTGTTTGAGGAAAGGCTGGATGTGGCACTTGGTGTCATGGTCTGGCTGATGTGGTGGTGTTGGGTCATAGGGTGGACTTGACCTCAGAGGTCTTTTCCAGCCTTAATAATTCTGTGATTCTGGGGGAAGGGCTTGAAGGAGGGAGAGATATTAGTATCAACTCTCACAGAATTTTGTTGGACTGCAGATCTGCATGGGTTCCCAGGAGACTGAAGTGCAGAGCCAAAAAAAAGGGAAAGGCCAGAGTTAGGAAGGAAAAATTAAGGCCCCCATGCTCTTCTGCAAGCAAATGGTGGTTCACACAGGGTGTGCCAGCCCTGGCCTCTTTGAAACAAGCAGAGAAGAAAAAGTAGAACAGAGGGCTGTAGGTGTGACATGACCCCCTACACTCCCTGCCTTGCCAGCTGCCTCTTTACTGGTGCTCAGGCTTACTGCCACCAGTGCAATTTTGGTTGGATATCGCCTTTCTGCCCTGCGCCTCCATAGGACCCCTGTGACTTATGCATCCAGGATAGGAAAGGCAGAGCCCAGGAAATGATGAGTGCAAGTCCCACACAGGCTCTGGCCCAGCCAAGGCAGCGACATACCAGGCTTTGGCTCCCTAGCACCCGTGCACCCTGTTCCCTTCAGGTTGAGGGGGAGGCGATGCCTTGGTTGCTGCCCTCTCTCCAGGGGTGCGCTCCCCTTCCTCTCCCCCTCCTCCTTCTCCCCCCACGTTCCATCCGGTGAGTGCTGCTGGGAAGGAAACACAACAGGGCCCATTCAGTTCTTGCTTTTGCAAGAAGAGCCAACACCAGCGCAGGAGCTCGGCA